GGGAACACTCACCACTTTCTTGCTGACAGGTTGTAGAAACGGCCATGCATCTTTGTGTCTAATCACATCATTGATCAACTGTTCACACAACTTCATCTGTTTGGACCACTCACTGCCTCGCGAAGAACTTGTAGGGAGGCGACGAGAAGACGGGCCTGAATCTTGGGGTTGAGAAAAGGAAAAGTTAAATGTTTTCACGATTTAGTTCAACCCATTTTGTGTGCGTCTAAGAAATGCACATTAAGTTTAGAAATTAGAGATCACATATTGCATAATTATTTTAGTTCTGAGCAGCTAACATTGCATTTCTTCCCCATTCTTTTGGACCAACAAATTTTCACCAAGTTTGAAACATAGGGGTCCTGCACAAAATAGTTAATTTCTTGTTAATAGTTTGTAAATAAATTAGTTCTTACCTTCAGAAGAAAAGGAATCTTTTCGTGCAAACCTCTTTTTTGGTTGTCCTTCTTTCATCCTCTTGCTTCCTCTTCTTGGAGACTCAGAATCGGAGCTCCCAGAATCTCTGGCTCTTTTGGTTCGCCCCTCAGTTCGTGCCCGAGGCAGGGAAGCTGAGCGAGGCTTCTCCTTTCCAGTCGCTCGGGCACTAATACGTGATCGTTTCTCAGCACCAGTTTTTACTTCAGGAGAAACTTTCTTACTCCTACCAGTCACAGAACTTGGAGTTGATTTACCTGACTTGGACTTTGCTGGGCCTAGGAAAGATTGAATAGAAAAATCGAAAGCATGAAAATATGATTCAAAAACACTCAAATACATTGATCTGTACTAATGTATTTATCTGAAAGATCGCCCAGATTGATGTTTTGGATAATAGGTCATATTTTGGAAGATCATCGAAATGAAAGCATGGCACCTTTTTCTCAACATTGTTTGTACAATCAATTGTTTTCATGGCTTTTCTATACAGTAGTTCGATCTATACTTGCACATGTATTAAATGTAATATATCTTTATAATTTTTTAATCATTATTGTCAAGGGAATGTAACATATTGTACAAGGTGACATCCATTGATATATGCAACACCTTACATCACATCACCAGTGATCGTAACACATCGTACTTGTGGCGTTTCAACAAAACATGAACTTTTTTTTTTACTCACGTCAAAAACGTAACTAGAGGCATGTGGCAAGGAAAATAGTGCTTTAAAGCAATGCATATGGATAGTAACATTTTCTCAGTCAATTTGGACAGAATTTGAATGCATCGCTCTGACAGTTTAAATGACTTTGGCGCTATGTTGTTGAAAGTTTAAGCTACCATATGCCATAACTCGTTATTTTTTGGCAGATTTGCTACTTTCTACAAAGTCCAACATAACGATAACTTAGATGTCATATCATTATATTTTGGCCAAGCTTCATCGGAACAACACTGTCATTGTGTGGTGAAATTCTTACTAAACTTGACGATGTCGATTTGAATCCTATCAATTCGCACTTTTTAAAAAACAATCATTTTTACTACCAAGTTAGTTTTTATGTTATATTTTTTTTCACGGCACCAAATGATCACTTGGGTTGAATGCTCACGGGTGATCTTATGGAGTGGAGGAAGTTTCAGATAAATATCGTAGGTGAGTTCATTACCTTTATATTGATCAATTGACTTTGTAACCAAGAATACTGATTGACCAATGTAAATATCAAAACTTAGGAGCCACGTAGGAGCCAGGTAGAAGCCAGATGGGCTCCTGGTTGCACACAATTAGTAGCAACAAGCAAAGACACGAATAAGCCGACACACATATAAAATTTGAGGGGAGTAAAACAATTGCATGCAAGACAGGGCAGGGCAGATTATAGGACGGAATAAGAAGAAATAATTGAGAGAAGAATTAATACAACAGAAGAAGGCAATGTTGAAAATAAGGAAGTAGAAATGAGCATTCTGATTGTGGTGGCAAATAAGGTATATATGGGGAGACAAGTGGACTCCTTGACAAAAAAAGCATCAGGTCCCCACACCAACCCCTGATTGGCTTTGTTTGAAGGTAAGTGCAATTAAACCAAACCTTTGGTCCAAATGGAATATACTTAATAAATTGCATTACATATCAAGTTTGAGAAATATATAAATTTTGAATTTTGCGAAAGAACAGCATTCACT